CAGCAAAGATGCTTTAGGAGGGAAAGGATTGTATGCAGGACACCATGGGAAGGAGGACTGCTTTGCAGTAGTGAAGGCAAGAGGGGTGTCTTCCCCCTGCAACTTTGGCTGTGCCATGTATATGCAGTGAGTTCTAAATTCACCAACTGATCAGGTTTCCTATGGCTCTGGAGCCCAGGGGGTGAATGCTGCTGCTGTTTTGCAACCATGACACTGCATCTGCTCTGGATCAGCCCCTGCTGCTTTGGCATATGTCCTGAATCCCTCATGGAGAGCTGGATGAGTAACAAAATAACTTCCTGAAAAATCTGTTCAGGGGGACTTAAGCAGCTCCAAATTAATTTTGCTGTTGAGCAAACAACATTTTTAGTTAGTTACTGAGAATGGCCTTCAGTGGTCCCCAAGTTAAGAACCTGGTTTGTGTTATATCGTTCAGAATCTCTTCAACATTCTAGGAAGAAGTTAAAAATGCCAGGTGCATACTGAGAAACATACCAGTTGCATAACCTGCTGGGGCCTGGGACAGCATTACACAGGCATTATTAGGCCTTCAGCTTTTAAACAACTGGCAGTTCTACTAGCATAAGAAAATTGTGAGGAAGGCAATAGCCCTGTTCACAGAGTACCCCAAACTAAAGGTAACTCAGCCCTATGCCATACAGAAACATGTTATTACTCATAACATTGCACTCAGTTCTGATTCAAATGTTTTAAATATCCTGATGCTCTGCAGTAAGCTCCCCACTTTCTCTGTGGGCAAACAGTAGGGACTGTGTTTTTTAATCTCAACATTTTTGTCCCAGGTCGTTTATGTACGGGGTTGGGGAACAAGTCAATTTTCTCTCTGTTGAGCTTGAACTCTGCAGACTTATCAAGGATCCCATCTGTGTCTCATATGAGAAATCTGTAATTTAAGATGCCAATTAAATATGCAGTTGAGAGAGAATTTACAGGAAAAGATTTGTTGTTCCTAATGCAGGGTTTTGGGGGAGGGCTGGTGCTGGAAAGCGGGTGTATTGAGGCTGGCCCAATTTGAATGTTGTATAAATTGTACATTGCTCAAAGTAGCAGCCTGTGGTGAACACCTGATGTTGTTGGCTCTCTGCCTGGTTCCATATCAGTAGATATCTCACATGAGGAGATGATACTGGTGTGGAAAACTGCAGCACTAAGTGCTAAATTGCATTTATCTTAAGCTTATCACCAGACCTGGATGGCGCCCTCTTGGATCCACTTGCCACCGCTGTGAGCATTGCAAACCTCTGAGATAGGTTGGTCCAGTGTAAATTGGCCAGTCATAGAAATGGTTGTTCCACTTTTTCTGATGTGAGATATCCCCATACGTGTATAGTGGCTGAAGCCCACAATGGCAGAATATTATACTCTGTGTTTAAGGGTTATCTTCTGACTCTTCAGGAATACATATACCATTTTGAAAGGAGATCTTTGGCATCCCAAAGGCAGGACCCAGTGAACTACATAATTAGCCTTGAAATAGATACAATGGACAAAGCAAATGCAAGACCAGACTCAGTGCAACAGTTGAGCTATGGGAGTATGTACAGAGACTATGTTTGAAGAGGGCAAGGTCCGAAAGATTCCTGGAAGAGTGTCACAATGCAGAGGATTTAAATGAATTTCTACTCAAAGTGCAGGGAGCTGAATATTTTCTGAGCTTAGTCTCCCAATCTTGCAAACACCTATGCATGTGCTTAACTTTTACTGTCACAGCTAGTTTTAGTGAAAGTACTGGAATGACTTACAATAGCAAAATTAAGAGTGCTTGCTGGGTCAGGGTCTTAGGGAGCAGCACGGTAAAATACGTGATGTGTATGGGTGCTAAGGAGATGGAAATGGGAAGAACATACAGATGGGGTGGACAGCAGGAGAAAGTGAGAGCTAAAGGGAGGAGCCAGGTTTGTTTGAGGCCTTGGATGTGAGAACAAAGAGCTAGAATGGAATGCAAGCAGACTCCAGAGCCCAAGGAAAAGGGTGAACAATGTTAAGTTGCTTCATGTCTCATTAGTTCACCTGTAGTCTCAGCTCCACTCTTGTTCTTATTTTCTCCTCTCCTAGAGAAGACAGTGAATATCAGCTGTAAATTGTTGCTACCCTTTAAGGGTGTATTATTAAGGATCTACCAAACTTGAGGCAGCTGCCCGCCGATTTCACAGGAAAATGCCAGTGGCCTCACCCCTTGCCACTGATTGGTGGAGAGGGGTGGAGCCATATGATAGACAGCCCTCACCGACAATCAGTGGTGGGATGCAGCCACCGGCATCTTCCTGCGAAATTGGTGGGCACCAATCTTGCTGTGTTGGCAGCACCACCTCCCCTTCCAGCAGGGTATACAGCTGGGCTACAGCAGCCACAAGGACTGATGGCTCTCCAGTGGGAGCCAGCAATTTATTTTCTCTAATTTTTTCTTCCAGGGAGCTCATGCTTTTTTGCAAAGCTTGCCCAAAATCACAGTTTCCATGAAAACTGCAAAATCACAATTTTGGTAGGCCCCTATATGTTATGTGCTCAGAATTCAATCCCATCATAATAAATAAATAACATACTGTTGTTTGCAACTTGCAGCCTTGAGATTGGTCTCAACATAATTGATTAGGAATTGGCATTTCAGGTTCAAGAGAAACATGTGAAGTTGGGTGGCTGTCACCAGTAAATAACTCTGTTTTCTGTGTCTGTTGGAGCTCCTGCCTTCTGTGCAAGTTGCTGAGGAAACACCTTCTCTGCCTCACTTTGGGAGCCTAGGAAAATGTTTTTTTAGTGTTAAATTAGTTTAGGTGTTGAAAGTGATAGATAAAAGACACAAGAAGAGTTCCACTGCTCATACACACATTAACTAAACTATTAGTATTCATGCTATTAAGGTGATGAAGTAATTGCATAACTTTGACTTTCAAGATATGTTAAATTAATTTGTTCAGCTACTACTGTGAGCAAATAGCATATGCAAATTTACTTCTGATGGTTGGGCTGGGTGGCTAAAAATTGGTAGCAAGCCTTGTACCATTACCACTGGAAACTCCAATCAGCAGGGGGATGGGAGGGGGTGAGCAGCAGCAGCATCCACCCCACTGGTTCTGGAGCCATGCCAGTGCAGTGCATCCAGCAGCCCCTCCAACAAGCTGCAAACTCAATACCAGTGGTGGGTAATCTGGCTCATGAGAAGCCCTGCAGGCCATATCCAGCCCATGGGATCCGGTAAATTGGATTGCCCCTGCTATAGATTTTGTTGTCATTCCCAGCAGAGAGGCCAAGAACAGAATGGCTGCTGTTGGCTGAAATTCCGCATAATCACTGAGGTTGTCACAATTGTAGAACTTTGGTAGAGTAGCTGTCATCCAGCTGTACGTTGCCGCAACCAGCATCATGCTTCTTTTGCATATGGATGGAGGTGTCCTTTTGCTAGATCCAACTATTTTTTTAAAGACACAGAAAGGATGGGCTGGGATAAAAGAGTGGTTATTTTTTAAGTGATTGCTTTTCATCAGTATGTTGCTAAACATGATTTAGGAAAGGTTGAAAGAACTAGAATTATTTAGTCTGGAAAAGAGAAGGTTGAAGGGGGATTTGATAACAATTTTCAAATACTTGAAGTGTGGTGATAAGGATAGCAATAGATCAGGGGTTGTCAACTGGGGGTACACATACCCCTGGAGGTACTTTGAAAGGTCCCAGAGGGTACACAGATGGAGCACCCCCCCTCCCGGCCGCCTCACAGGAGCAGAACCATGGCGGAGCGAGAGCAGGACCGTGAGCAGTCAGACAGTCCACCGCTTGCCATGCCTCCTCTCCGCGTCTGACTGCTCGCCTTCCCCCCCCCCACACCCCCACTTGGCATCTGGCCACTTGCCTCCCCTCCTGGGGTACACTTACTAAAAAGGGGGCCGCTAGGGGAACACTTATTTTAAAAGGTTGAAAACTCCTGCAATAGACTATTCTTTGTGGCCTTGGGAGACAGGACAAGGTGTAACAGGCTTAAATTGCAGCAAGGGAAATTTAGGTTGGAGATTAGGAAACCTTTTTTACTATGAGGATGGTAAAGCATTGGAACAGATTACCCAGGGAAGTGGTGGGAACTCCATCCTTGAAAGTTTAATATAAGGTTAGACAAATACTTGTCTGGTGATCCTGCCTTGAGCAAGGGGACTGAATTAGATGCATTCCTGAAGTCCCTTCCAGCCCTACTATTCAAAACTAAATTATTTGATATGAGTGTTTGATCATGCCACTAATGCAAAACATTGCTAAATTAATTGCATCCCACCAGTGTCAGATGTTGAGACTGAGGGACATGGAACTGCTCTATAACCACTTACTGAGTATTTACTGTGTGAATATCTTGATTTAGTGTAATAACAAGGTTGTAAGGAAAGGAGACAGGAATGGAATGGAGTATATTCTGAGAAGTGGCTTAAGAGAAAATATAAGGACAAAACAACATCTGGGAACCAAATGATCCAAAGGACAGCAGTTTAGAAAGGGACTGTCTTTCATAGAGGGAAAATAGCTGTTCAGGAGTTGTTCAGAAAGACTATAGACTGATGTGCATGACCCTGTGGGAATACCTGAGGAAACTAGGCCTGCCTAGGTCCCCGTAATGTGATGGTATGGCCATTGATAAGATCAATATGCCTATGAACTGTTGATTTAAAATCCTTTTCTCCTCTCTTTTCTTCCTACTGTCAAAATAAATAGTGCTTTGGTTTTAAGAAGAGTATCTTGTTACTCTGTACACTGATTACAGACTCCTAATGGGAAAGACTCCAAATATTGATCCCAGTCACACTTACTGAAGAGGGACAGTTGTTATGCAGGGGCTCACGTCCGGGGGCCAGACTGTAAGTAGGAGAGATGTGGCATCATATTAGCCACATCAGACACTAGGCCTGACTCGATGTAATACATTCAGATCATAAAAGGGGCCTTTTTCAGATCTTTGTTCCTTGTTCATTGAAATTATACTGTTTCTTTTTGTGCTTTTTTAGACTCTCTGGTTTGACCTGCACCAGCGACTGTCAGACAGCGAAAGCACTGCTTGCACAGTGAGTATATACAAATAATCACGACCCTGCAAATACCAAGGTCTTTTTTGCATATGCAAATACAGGTGCATACCTGACACATTTGATGTGTCACACTTGGCCTTTGCTAAAGCTGTGGCTGTGGCTTTGATATAGGTCAACTTGTTATTGTTTAAATCAGGTTAACATCTTCCTCTAGACTTCTATATTGACTATGCCTTATGATATCATTCCATGTGATATCCATATGATATCACTCCAGTAAGATAAAGTTCCAGTTAACTGAGTTACTTCTCATGAAACCTTTCAGAGGGAGGAAAATGGACAGAGCTTTCTTTTCAAACAACTGTATGATTAGGAGTTTTGAAGACCAAGATTCTGCTTCTCATTATTTTCAGGATTTCTCAGTGGAGCAAACATTAACAATTTCCAGAAATCATCAGATAGATTAGTTCTGTCAAATGAAGCTTTTTGTTAATACTTTCTCTAATGAGCAGTGCAATATCCATAGCACTCAGAAGTTAAGTAAATGAAGCTGTCTCCTTCCATGGATAAAATGTGATCCCTCTAGATTAGTTAGAGTCCCTGAAATGATCTGGCAATTACGTTGGGAAATGACTATTAAACATGTGTATTTTTATTTTGACGAGCTTAATGAGCTGCTTTTGCCTTAGTCAACCGGATGGAATTAATATTTTTCTAGTCTCAAACTGAATAGAGATTTGCACTTGTCTTCATCTTTAGCAACAGCATGAATGAAAGTCCCTCAATAAAGACTATGTGCAACAGTATGTTGAAAAATACACATCTTTTGTTGCAAGTTGTTTTGTGTGC